CACCCCCCTCTGTTCCGCCCCCGACAACTGCCAGGACGAGAGACGCGCCCCATGACCGGGCAGACCGCCCGAGGCCAGGCGGCACCGCGGCGGCAGCGCCCCGCGGGCGACGGCAGAGGCCCACCGGAGAGGCAGAGGGCGCGGAGAGCCCGGCCCAAGAGCTGCGGGGAGGGCGTCCGAGGCGCGGGGCGGCGCGGCCGAAGGGGGGAGCAGAGCGGGGGAGCGGGCAGGCGGGGAGGCTGCCGAGGGCGAGCACCACCCAGGCTCCTCCTCCTCCTCCTCCTCCTCCTCCTCCTCCTCCTCCTCCTCCTCCTCCCTCCTCCTCCTCCTCCTCCTCCTCTCCTCCTCCTCCTCCTCCTCCTCGTCCTCCTCCTCCTCCTCCTCCTCCTCCTCCTCCTCCTCCACGGGCCGCGCCGAACGGGTGGGGGCAGCGGGTGCGCGGGCGCCGGGCGCCCCGCCAGGGGCGGCCCGAGGACGGCGGCAGAGCAGGGCGGCGGCAGGCCGCGGCGCCCGCGGCGCACCGGGGAGGGGAGCCCTCCACGGAGCGGCATGGATAGGGGAACAAAAAGTGACATAAACATAAAAATTCTGAGGTCCGCGCGGATTTCTCGGATCGGCGCTGGACCCCCCTCCCTGGCGCGCGGAGCGCGCCAGGGGCGGCGCCGGAGGCGCTGCCGGGGGGCCCCAGCGCAGATCCGAGAAATCCGCACGGACCTCCGAGAGGTTATGTTTATGTCACTTTTGATTCCCCCATGGATCGGCTGTTGGTGGAGTAGACGAGCGCGTTCCACTACTCGCGAAGTGGCTAGTCGCAAGTGGCCTGGATCCGCCGCGGGGGATCTACGATACATTACTTGGGACGTTTGCGAGGAGGCACTTTGCGAGTAGTGGAACCCGCTCGGTGATAGAAGTGCCCCTGGCCCAAGGTGCCCCCAGGATTTCCAAGGAGGCCCCCACGGCCTGCAGAGAACCCCTCACGAGGCCCCGAGGGCCCCAGGGGCTCCAAAAAGGGAGCGAGAAGCTGGTGGCACCCTGGGCCAGGAGCAACCCCGGAACTGAGCGGCATGGACGCGAGCAGGGACCCACTGCCGGGACAGGGCCCCGAAGAGCAGACGGTCCGGAGTTGAGGGGCGCCCGTCTGGCAGTGATGAAGTGGGCGGGGGCGGCCTGGTCGGGACAGGTCCCGAGGTGGGCCTCGCTTCTGTGAGATCGTCTCTTCCGCTGGCGCCCCGAGCGAGGCAGCGGGCGCCCTGGCGACAGGGTCGCTTGGGAGGGAACTGCTGAGCTGATCGGCAGTGCACCAGCTGGGGTCAGGGTGTGGCCCCCCGATCATGCCTGGGCCTTGCGTGTGGGTCCAGTCGCGCCAGCTCAGGGTGGCCCAGAGGGAAGATGCTGCACCTTCCGCCCGCATTGCGCTGATGCGGCTGACGAGGCCCAGTCCAAAAGCCTCCTCAGGCGGAGTCTCGTTGTCGGGGGCCTGGGCGGGAGGGGCGAGTGCGCGCTGCTTGGGCGCAGGCGCGCCATCAACCGACGACGAGGCGTGCTCCGCCCTGGGGCGCGCCCGCGCCGACTCGCGGGCACCCGCGCCAATGGCCCCACCCGCACCTGGAGGTCCGTTAGGCACGAGAGGGGCAGCGGTGGAGCCGTGGCGGGCGCATCAGCGGCGGCTGCACTCGATGGCGGAGGGGCGGGGTCACGAGAGCGCCCCCTGACCTGGGTGAGGTTCGGCCTGCTTCGGAGAGGTCCCGTGGAGGGACGAGCGCCAGCCAGCTTGCCGCCGGGGAGCGGGGGCTGGGGGGACTCCGGGGAAGGGTCTCCCTCCAGAGTCGCAGCCCGTCGGCTCTGACGATCGCCGATGGCCGGCAAGCCGGGCGGGGGGGCGGGCCCGAGCCCCCTCGCGCACAAGGGCGCGGGCGCCCGCGAGGGCGCGAGGGGCGACGCGCGCGAGAGGGGGGACGGAGGGGGTGCCAGGGTGGAGGGCTCGCCGCCGGGCCTGCTCCAGGCCCGGCGGCAGGTGCAGACACTCGTCTGGCGAGGTTCCCGCAGGCGCTGGTCTGGCCGCGGGAACCGCTTCCCAGTTGAGCGACGATCGAAAACGGGTCTTGCACGAGATGGCGCAGCGACCTCACGCGGTGGCTTGCGCGGGCCGCCCGCGCGGCGCGCTGCGCTCGAAACGAGGGCGCCTCCGCGCGACCCGACGCGAGCAGCCTACGCGCCAGTGCCGGCGAAGACGGCCCTGTTTTCCGTCGCTCGGTTGGGGCGAGGTGCGCCGATGGGGGTGGGGGGTGGCATCGGGCCGCCCCGCCAATGGGTGGGGCCTCCGAGCGGGTGGGCGCAGCGGACGGACTCGGGGCGGCGCGGCCCCCGCTTGCCCACCGCGGACCGCTCCTTGACCAACTGCGCGGCGAGAGCGCGCCGTTCAGCAGAGGCGAGGGAGCGCCCGTCGTGCAGCGGCTTGGACTCCCATCCCTCCACGATGGCCGCCACATACTCCGGGTAGTTGAGCTTGGGACCAGCGTGGGGAGTGAGGCCCAGCGGAGGGAAGGCAACCGCCAGGAACTCGCGCCAAATGTCGAGTTTCCCGGCAGTCTTTCTGATCCTGGCCAGCTGAGCCAGGAGGTCAGGACTAAAGTAGGCGGTGCTCGGATCGTACCCGTTCGGGCAGCCAATGGGCTGGATGACGGTGGCTGGGTGGGTTTTGCCGCTGCGCGACTTGTAGCCAAAAGCGCACCGCAAAAAGAAAAAGTGAGAGCACTGTCGGAGCCTGTGACAGGGTCCGCCTGAGTGAAAGTCTGCCTCTGAAGGAACTCCCTCCTCAGGGGGGCCTGCATGTGGCCCTGCCCTTGGAAGTGCTTGGCCACGGCAACCTCGCCGTCCCAGGAAATGCGATCCAGCCGTAAACCAGCAAGGTGCGCAAACGGGAGGCACGCCTGGGGAGAAGTGAGAAGGGATGGGCTTTCTCAGAAGGCTCGGAAGCCCCCCAGTCTTCCGAGAAATGTTCTGAGCCCTCCCCGAAAACACGGAACAGCTCTCAGAGGGCGCGAGGGCTTCTGAGAAGCCTCGCCGCCTTCTGAGAAGGCCTCCTCCTTCTCGCTTTCCCACCTCGCCCGACGCCCGAGCAAAGGCTGTGGAGGCGGGCTGGGGCTCCGACGCCGGATCGGGGTCGCTGCCACCCTCGGCTGGGCGATGGGACCGCGAGGGTAGACGAGAAGTGGCCACTCGCAAATGGCCTGGATCGCCCGCGGAGGCTCTACGATAAACTACATCGAAGCGGACACGTGTTTTTCGGACGTTTGCGAGGAGGCACTTTGCGAGTAGTGGAACGCGCTCGGTGAGAGGAACCACCGCCTCGGGGAAGAGACCCTCCGCCGCGCCTCCGGGGCTGCCGGAGTGCGTCCGAGGTGTCGCAATTGGGGCCACCAGGGCCGGGCCAGCACCGCCCGGTGTCCCGCGACGACCCCTCCGTCTCCGCGGCGGCGGGGAGCGCTGTGACGACGGCGACGACGACGACGACGACGACGACGACGACGACGACGACGACGACGAGCGGGCAGCCTGGTCCTGCTTGGGGGAAGAAACCTCTCCAGGTGGAAGGGCGGGTGGTGGAAGTGCAGGAGGTGGGAGGACGCAGCCCTCTTGGAGGAGGTCTTCCATGTAGGCGAGACACACACGCACACACATGCTCTCACTCTCTCTCTCTCTCTTTCTCTCTCTCTCTCTCTCTCTCTCACACACCACACACACCACCACACCACACCACACCACACCACACCACACCACACCACAAACTTCCTGCCCACAAACAGACCCAACTGCGGCGCCACTGAGCACGCCAGCACGCGCACGCTTTTTGCGTCTGACGCTCCCGCACCTCGTGCACCATTGGGGGCTCCACAAACGGCACCAGTGGGGCGTAATCGTATGCGCACGCCCCTGTTTTTGACACACCGCTCAAACAAGTCTTGCCTCATGGGGCGCCCCGAGTAAAGTCGGCAGCATTGGGTAAGCGTGCATGCGCCCGTCCCTCTTAGTGGAACATTATTCACAGACTCGAAGGCACACGGGCAGCCTTACATATGGCACTCATGGGCATGCCCACATGCGCTCACCCCTGAATTGCAGCGGACTCCTCCCGCACTGCGTGTCCCGTGGGGAGCCCTGACTGCGGCGTCAGTGTGCACGCCCGCACGCGCATGCCCCCCACTGCGACATGCCCCTCACACATTTCGCGCCCCATAGGAGGCCCCTGCTACGGCACCTGTGGGAACGCCCGCCCGCACACACACACACACACACACACACACACACACACAAATCTCTGGCACGCTCCCCAAGCAAGGACTGCCCCATTGGAACAATCCCGACCACACGCGCCCACAAGGACACGCCCTCGCTGCGACATACTCCTCAGACACTTCGCGCTGCATGAAGTGCCCCGATTACTGCAACGGTAGGGCACGCTCACCTCCAGTCCCAACTTCATCTTAGCACACCCCTAGTATACTTCCGCTTAGGGAGCCCTAGGTCGTTCGCATGCGCACACATGCCCTACGCAATGGTTCGCCTGCTTGCTTAGCAATTGTCTACTCGTTTGCTCCCCCTCCGATAGGAGGGGGGGGCAGGGAAGGGGCTCCCCTGGTCCCTCCCCCCGGTCCTGCTAGTGGCGGGGAGAAGGGCGCTCATTGTTTGTTGCCCTCCCTTGCCGAGTTTCCCCCCGAGCGCGACGCGATATAGACAGCCTTGTGCTGTGTGTTGTGCCCCGAGAACGATAATGCCAAGATGCATAACTCACGATGCAGGGCTCACTCTTCTGCAGTTCTATGGAACAGAAAGTAGGAGCGAAGTGCTCTGGAAAATTGACGAGCCTGGAGATTGGGAGTGAGGTCGTACGATTCAGATCACTGGGAGCATGAGGCACATGGGAGTCCGCACAAGAATACGAACATGCAATACAAGAGTTTCTTGGGGCTCGAACGGGAAAGAAGGCAGCAGGCGAGGAACCCACGCGAAGGACCACCGTCGCGGGGGGGAGACCCCTCCGCCGCGCCTCTGGAGCTCCCAGACAGCCTCCGACGTGTCACAACATGGGCCGCCAGGGCCGGGCCAGCACCGCCCGGTGTCCCGCGACGGCCCCTCCGTCTCCGCGGCGGCGACGACGACGACGACGACGACGACGACGAAACGACGACGAAACGACGACGAAACGACGACGACGACGACGACGACGACGACGACGACGGCGACGACGACGAAACGACGACGAAACGACGACGAAACGACGACGAAACGACGACGACGAGGGGGTTGGAATGGGGAAGGGGGCGGCGGGCGAGGGAGCGACGCGAGGGGCAGAGCGCGGGGGGGCGGCCGGCGCCGCCTGCGCGCCGCCGAAGATGCGCGAGTTCTCCTGCTGCACGGCCTGCGGGGCAACCGGGGGGGCGCCCGCGGAGCGGCTGCAGGCGAGAGTCCGTGGACCCCGGCAGGGCCGCTCCCCCGCCCGCTCCATGCCGGCGCACTCTCCAAGATGGAAGGGGCCCTGGGGCACACAAAGAAACACACACGAATCAAAGAATTCCCTGCATTTTCCCCTATTTTCTGGGCTTTTGCCCTCCCCCCCACTTCCCATATTCTCCCATATTTCTGGGGAGTCGACGATTTTGTGTCTGTGTGTTCTTTCCCCTCCTGAAAGATGTTGGGGGAACAAAGAGTGACGCGGACATGAAAAGAGTGACGCAGAAATATAAAAAATCGGAGAGGTCCGCGCGGAGTTCTCGGCTCGGCGCTGGACCCCCCTCCCTGGCGCGCGGAGCGCGCCAGGGGCGGCGCCGGAGGCGCCGCCAAGGGGGTCCAGCGCGGATCCGAGAAATCCGCGCGGACTTCTGAGTATTTTTGTTTATGTCATTCTTCGTTCCCCTTTATCCGCACCCATCGTCGCCCCCGATCCTCTTGCGGCGTCACCCAGGCACATTCTGGCCGAAGGCCGGTTGAAAGTCCAAAGGTGGCCCAGGGAGGAACCGGGGCCACGGAGGCGGCTCAGATGGAGGGGCCAGGGGATCCAGCGCGGATCCGAGAAATCCGCGCGGCCCTCCGAGTTTGTGTGTTTATGCCACTCTTCGCTCCCCTAGATGAGCCCCCTCTGCTCCCCTTCTGCCCACTGGCACCCACGACCTCTCACGTCGGCCCGATGCCTCCCGCCTCCGTCGCTGCTGAGCAGGCAGAGGAGGACGAGGACGAGGAGGAGGATGAAGAGAGGGAACGAGAGAGAGGGTAGATCACCTGCACACCTCCGAGCACGCGGGTCACTAACCAATACGAAAAAAAACACGAAAAAACTAAAATAGTCAAAACATGCTCAAATACTTCTTGACCACGTCTGGGCATTTCTCCTGTAGAGGGACATGCCCGACTTGACCCTGTTCGTGCGTTTGCTTGTTTTTCGTAATTAAGATGGTCCAATAGGCTCCTCGATGGCCCGCGCCGAGAACGAGTGCACACGTCCGAGCGATGCCAAGCCCGCCCGCGAAGCTCGCAGGGTCCGAGGGTCGAGGATCGACGCTCGAGGCCCGAGCGTCGAGGGTCGAGGGTCGAGGTTCGAGGGTCGGTTCGGCGGCGAGCGAGGGGGGAAAAATCAGAAAGAGAAGGCCCTCTCAGAAGGCGGCGGCACTTCTCGGAGGCCTTCGCGCCTTGAGAGAAGCTTCACAGCGTCTTCGGGGAAGGCCTGGAGAACTTTTCGAAGGCTGGAGGACTTCCGAGCCTTCTCAGAAGGCCCGCCCCTTTTCACTTCCCCCCCAGGCTCGCCGCCGACTCATGTAGGCGTTCCTTCTATTCTGGGTTTCGACATTTGGCCGAAGGGTGGGGGAGGGGGGGGGTCGGTCTGAGTCTGGGCCAGTGCATCGCCGATCTGCTTCTACCAGTCGCGCATGCAGACTGGGGGGAAGGGGGCCTGACCAGTCGCCAGAAGCAGCCGCCAACAGCAGGCAAAATCTGGTATCTGGTATAAGGGGGGGGAGGGGGGGGGAACGGCGACCACTCAACTCTCGACGCGGTGCGCCCGGGGGGGGAAGTGAGAAGGAGCAGGCCTTCTCGAAAGGCTCGGAAAACCCCCGGCCTTCTGGGAAAGATTATGAGCCTTCCCCGAAGGCACGGAAAACTCGTCGGAAGGCCCGAAGGCGCCTGAGAAGCCCCACCGCCTTCTGAGAAGGCCTCCTCCTTCTCACTTCCCCCCCACGCCACGAAAGCTCTGTTCTTGGGACCCCCCACCCTAAAAGTTCTCGCCCAAAATCTACCGATACCCATCCCACGAGAGCTCTGTTGTGTCGCCCTGCAGGCAGATCCTGGGCGAAGATCAGAAAAAACAGTCGACAAAGAAGCGAAGTGCCCAAACATGCTCAAACAAAATCGTCCCCTGACGATTGACGATGTTTGAATATACATAAATATATACACATACATACATACATACATACATACATACATACATACATACATACAGACAGACAGACAGACAGACAGACAGACAGACAGGGAGGCAGACAGACAGACAGACAGGCAGACACACATTACATACATACATACATACATACATACATACATACATACATACATACATACATACATGCATGCAGACATACATACATACATACATACATACATTCATACATACATACATACATACATACATAGATACATACATACATACATACATGCATACATGCATACATACCTATACATACATATACATACATACATGCATACATGCATACATACATGCATACATGCATGCATGCATACATGCATGCATATATACATACATATACATATACATATGCATATACATGTACATGTACATGTACATATACATATACATATACATATACATATACATATCTATATATATATTCACAAAAATACATACATACATGCATACATACATACATGCATACATGCATGCATACCTACATACATACATACAGACAGACAGACAGACAGACATACATACATACATACATGCATGCATGCATGCATGCATGCATGCATGCATACATGCATGCATACATACATACACACCCATACATACATACAGACAGACAGACAGACAAACAGGCAGGCAGACAGACAGACAGACAGACATGCATGCATGCATGCATGCATCCATCGATCCATCCGTCCATCCATACATACATATGTACATACATATATACACACATGTATACATACATGCATGCATACATGCATGCATGTATGTATATATATATGTACATACATGTATATACACATATATACATACATATATACATATAGACATACATACATACATACATACAGACAGACAGACAGACAGACAGACAGACAGACAGACAAACATACATACATACATACAGACAGACAGACAGACAGACAGACAGACAGACAGACAGACAGACAAACAAACAAACAAACAAACAGACAGACAGACAGACAGACAGACAGACATATACCCCTGTAGAGGGACATGCCCGACTTAACCCTGGGCTCGCCTCCGACATTTGCAGGAGGGGGCGCCGCGCACCGAGAAAAAGTCTCGCGGCGCCAAGGGGCTTCTCTGGCGTCCGCGGCCTCGTGGAGCCCGTGCCCCGCGCGCTCCCGGGGCCTGGGCCGCGAGCTCTGTCGCAGACGTGCGGACTTTGGGCGCGAACTCATGGGGGGCGATGCCCAGACTTCGGGCGTCTCGAAAAAATCGAGGCGGAGGTCGTTCGCAGGGTTTGGCCTCTCGGGGCCCTCGCTGCGCCTCGGGACCATCAAAAAACGACTCGGGATGAAAGACCGGTCCCGGGGAGGTGGTCGGGAGGTCGGGGGCCCGTGTCTCGAAAAAATCGGCACGTCGGATGTCTGGGCAGAGGCCCTAAAGGCTTAGGTCGGGCATGTCCCTCTAAAGAGGGATTTTGGGCGAAAAATTCAAAATTCTTAGAAAATATGCAAAAAAATATTCAAAAATTGTCAAAAAATCGTCCCCAGACTATTCTGTTTACTATTCGTGAATATTCCTCCTGTAGAGGGACAGGCCCGACTTCACTAAAGGCCCGAAAGGCCTCTCTGGGGCCCCATGGGGCCATGTAGGGGCTCTACAGGGCCCCTCTTCGGCAGCCCTCGCTGCCCCTCCACTTATCGCCCCTCCTTAATTCGCGCCCAGGGACTCGCGAAGCTCTCGGCCCTGGAGGGGGGAAACCTGAACAGGCCTCACGAGCCATCTTGGGCCCACATGGCCCCGAGGCCCCGAGAGGACCCCAAAGAGGCGCCCAAGAGGCGCCCAAGAGGCCTCCAAAGACCCCCAAGGTGCAGGAAGAGGCCTCCAAGAGGCCCCCCAGAGGCCCCCCGGAGGCCCCCCAGAGGCCCCAAGAGCCTTCAAGAGGCCTCCAAGAGGCCCCCGGGAGTGAGACCCCAACAGACAACAAGAGGCCTTTGGCTCACAACCTAGGCACCGTGGCAAAATGGGCCGACGGCCACTAAATTGGTTCTCGATTGCATGTTGTCTTACATGCTGACTTGCTGCGGGATCGCACACACCTCAGCCTTCTAGCTTACCTTCGAACTGCCGTTAACTTCCCACGGTGTCTGGCAGTAGAAGAAAGGAGTCCCTAATTGGACTCGCGCCTCGCTGATTGGTGCTCCCCCCATCTGAGCCGCCCCCATGGCCCTGGCCCCTCCCAGGGCCACCTTTAGACTTCCAAACGACCTTCGGCCAGAATGCTGCCTGGGTGACACCGCAAGAGGATCGGGGGCGACGATGGGTGCGGATGTAAAGGAACGAAGAATGACATAAACATAGAATTTGTAAGTCCGCGCGGATTTCTCGGATCCGCGCTGGACCCCCGGCGGCGCCTCCGGCGCCGCCCCTGGCGCGCTCCGCGCGCCAGGGTTGGGGGTCCAGCGCCAGTCCGAAAAATCCGCACGGACCTCCGAGTTCTTATGTTTATGCCATTCTTCGTTTCCCCAGGATAGCCTAGGGGAGAGCAATCCATGTATCCCGGGGCGCCGATGGTCCATTCTTTCGGCGAGGCTCCCAGGCGAACACGTGTAATGCTCGCCCCTGGGCTGGTCGCCCCTCTCGTCGCCGACAGGAGGATGGCGCGCCCGATCACGATGCTTCCCAGACCCTAGGATGGCATCACGCCCTCCGCTCTCCGCTCTTGCTGCCCGCTCCTCGAGAGACGACCCCCATCAGATTCACCTCGTGTCCACGGTGCCGCCTCGCCACTAGCGATGGGCTGGGTCCCAAGGGTGGCGCGGCTACCATGTCCGCCACCTGGCCCAGGACAATCAGAGGAACTCGCGTCGAATCAGAATCCTGCCAGCACATGTCCCTCCTCTCGACTGGCTCCTCAGGGGACGACCTGTAAAGGAACTGCTGGGGCGGGCCAAGGCCCCTCATGAGACTCTTCAGAGCCCGTGTTCATCCATCCGTGGTACGCCGAGAGGCACTGAGGATCACAGAAAGAGGCGGCCGCTAGGTTTGCAATCCTACATATATCCAAAGAAACGAAGTACGAGGCCCACTACGACAAAAGCCGCCGATACTCAACGTCTTCCGGATGGGTGGCACCTCGCACCCCTCTTCGAAAAGTTATCGCCTAGCTTGGTTACACGACAGTGGGGCCACTATGATTATCCTCCACACCTGAGCCTCATTCTGGGAGATGGGAGAGGGGAGGCACATCACTGTGCGTGATCTGATCAAGTCCTTCATCTTGCATCTTAACCTGAACAGTTCCCCATACTTCTGAATAGACTCAAAGGGCGGCCACACGGTTCTGGGCCAGCCGCCATTCCATCCACGAGCACCCTAAGACCGGTGAAATCAGTCATGGGTCCTCGAGTGCTGCCGGGCAGGGCCCACACGACGGCACCGAAAATCGCCTCCCAGGGATTACCTCGTGCCTTCCCCAGCTTTGCTTTCGGGCAGACGCCAGCACACTGGCGGGACCCGCAGCCCACCGACGGCGGGGCGGACATGAGTTCTAGAGCATCGTCCTTATCCTCCTCCTCCACCCTCCTCTACTCCATCCTCCTCTTCCCGATCGCTCCCCCCTCCGATCCTACCTTCCTCCCATCCCTTGTCACTGGGCCCCGTCCTTGTAGAGCGCCCCGACGGAATATCTCGGTGTCCCCTGCGGGCGGGCACCAGGGCATGAACCATCCAGAAGATGCGCGCGGCCAGCACCCCTGCTCTCCAGCTCCGGTAGCCTTTATCCTCCTCCTCCTCCTCCTCCTCCTCCTCCTCCTTCTCCTCCTCCTCCTCCTCCTCCTCCTCATCATCATCCTTCCCCTCCTCCTCCTCCTCCTCCTCCTCCTCCTCCTCCTCCTCCTAGTGCCTTCCTTCCACTCCCCCCCTTCATCATCATCATCATCATCATCATCATCATCATCATCATCATCATCATCATCATCATCATCATCATCAGCATCATCAGCATCAGCAGCAGCAGCATCATCATGAGCATCATCGTCATCATCATCAGCATCATCATCAGCAGTAGCAGCGTCAGCATCATCATCAGCAGCAGCATCAGCATCATCATCATCAGCATCACCATCATCATCATCAGCATCATCATCATAATCGTCATCAGCATCAACATCAACACCATCAGCATCCTCATCATCATCAGCATCATCACAACACTCATCATCCTCTTCATCATCATCAGCATCAGCATCATCAGCAGCAACAGTATCATCAGCATCATCAGCATCATCATCATTATCATCATCAGCATCATCAGCATCACCATCATCACCCTCAGCAGCATCAGCATCATCATCAGCAGCAGCGGCACCAGCAGTAACATCATTATCATCATCGTCATCATCACCAACAACAACAGCATCGTCATTAGCAGCATCATCATCATCATAATCAGCGTCATCGTCAGCAGCCTCAGCATCAGCATCAGTATCATCAAGATCATCACATTTTTCATCATCATCACCCTCACCATCGTCGTCATCATCATCACCATCACCATCACCATCACCACCATTATCACCACAATATACCATCGTCAACACCATCATCACAATCTAGTCCATCACCATCACCATGACCATCATCGCCACCAGCATAATCAACAATAACGTCGATCCCATCATCATCATCAACATCAACATCAACACAATGATCCATATCATCTTCATCATCATCAGCAGCAACAGCATCATCGTCATCATTATGATCGTCATGCTCGTCATCGTCGTGCTCATCACCATCATCATCGTAATCGCCGTCGTGCTCATCATCAGTAGCAGCATCATCATCGCCGCTGACTTAATCATCGTCACCATCGTCATCATCGTAATATCATCTTCATCGTGTTCCTCCTCTTCGGCCTCGTTCTACCATACGCAACAGCTTCAATCACGCGAAGAATAATGTGACATGCCGTGAACATGCTCTTCACCCTCGCGCGAAACTGCACGCACTATCCGGCACCGTGCCCCCTGGCAGGTTTTTTCCACGGCATCGCAACGAATCCCATGCTCAAGACGACGTAGATTTCGGAAGGCCCAACCGGCCAAATCCGTCATGTTTGTTCGTCTCGGCGACCGGGCGCGACAGGCGGCTGCGTGAAGCCGGCGTGGACCTTGAAAGATGCTTCCGAAAGCAAGGCGCGAGACAAGCTATAAATAGCGTGGTTGCCAAAATCGCCCAGGGAGGAAGGAGGACAAGAGGAAGCATAGAGAGAGGGAGAGCGGAGGGAGGCAGGAAAAGAGAAGACGCATATTCAGCTGGGGCGCCACGGAGGAACGCGAGCTGGCAGCGAATCTAAAGCACAAAGTCGCGAATAACCACGAACTTTTGATTGGAATCTGAAGATACAACGGAATCCAGGGGAACTGTCAAGTGCACACGAGTCTCCTTCAAGACGCATGATGCACATCGACTTAAACTCAAATTGAGATTGAAGTGTGCGTGACAAGTCTTGTCCGCCAGATTCGCCGTCTACCAGCGCAAGCATCAAAAACGCTGCATAACAGCTGGTAAGAAAACTCCGCATGGTGCCATGCGGAGAGGCGGTCTTTGACAACATGTCTGCTGGCATGTTTGCAAGGCCTGACTTCACTGTCGCGATCTCTTCCCAGCCATTAATACAGACATCTCATGCATCAGATCATAATGGTACTGGACTGATGGAAGACGTCCCAGAACGTCTCGTCCACTTTCGTGGGGTTACAGCTTGACGGGAAGATGGAGTAGCCAGCCTTCTTCTCCACATCAGTAACTGCATTGAGAATGTACTTGCCATCCTTGGTGATGCCACATTCCTTGCAGTCCGTGTTTTCGCCAAGGAATGCAACGGACTGACCGCTCTTCACATCGCAAAGAGCCTTGTAATAGTACTCTGGGACGGCATCGCCGTCAACCATTGTGGGACGATCCGCCTGAATGACACCTGTGACGACGTAGAGCTCAACATTGTGAGCAACGCAGAACTCCCGCGTGTGCTTCTCGACGAAAGCCCATGGGTGCTCATTGAAGTAGGAGCCCTGCGGCGCAACGTTTGTCATCAAGTAGGTGTGCGCCCAAGCGCCATCATCGGACTGATCCCATGTGAAGGCGTTGCTGGGAGCTAAGTGGCCGATGTCATGCATCGAATCGAATGCCTTGTCTTTAGAGTGCGCCTGCTGGTCTGCCGGCACATCTGGGTCGAGGGTGAAGCCTTTGCACTTATACGCGTCATGCTTCTGCTCTTCTGGCTTCAAGAGGTAAGCTGAGAACTTTGGGCAGCGGATCTTCGTGTCGTAGACAGTTGCGAAGAACGTTCTGTTGCCTTTCTTCCTGCACAAGAATGTGCCCTCTGTATCTGGCACCTTTCCTTCAGCGAAGTGTTCACTGCATTCCTTGGCAGCGGCAGCTGTCGCTAGGGCGATGAAGACTGCAAGTGAAGAAGCCATTGCTGCCGATGTCAAGCTGCTTCAGTCAAAGACCTGACGACTTGCCAGGGCCACACTCAGCAAAATGCTACGCTTGAGTCGGGCCTGTCCCCCTACAGGCGGATCTTGGGCGAAGAATAAAAAATACTCCAAAAATATTTCAAACAAATTGACAACAAAAATTGTCTAAATATCGTCCCCAGACTATTTTTTTTTTTTTACTAATTTTGAATATTCCCCCTGTTGAGGGACAGTCCCGACTTCATGCTACGGACGGTGCCCCATGGCATGTTCCGGCGTGGTAGATGCCAAGTGCTGTCTCGCGGAGTCTGTGGAGGGCCTTCTGGGACCCCCCCTCTCACCATACCAAATGATGTGCATCTCCCCACACAGTATCGGGCCGGACGAGAAGGGCGGATAGGGAAAAGGGGGGTTAGGAAATCTGCTGCATGCAGCTGGTTTCTGCCCCATCGAAGGGCCCATTACTCGATACATGGCCGCCTCCTGGCGCCGGGAGGCGCCGGGAAAATCAGCTACGTGAGCTGATTCTCAAACCCCCCCCTTTGCTATCCCCCCCTTTCGCCCAGCCCGACAGTAGGAGCTCGACCACAAAACACCTTCCACAAGAAACCCAACCCTGGAACCACCCCAGGACGTTCACTGATGTTTGCTGTGGGAGCGTCACGCTTTCCAGGGCAAAACCATCGAAACCCAAGAGACCCAGGGCATCCTGGAGCCAAGCAGGGTGTTTTTCTGGGCATGGGCTTCCACTGTACCCACTTTTATGAGGAAAATCCTTGAGGCCTCGCGCGGCAACTTGAGATCCGATTTACGTCGGATCCACGTCGGATTTACGTCGGGTTCACGTCGGACTCCGTTGGATTTACGTCGGATTTACGTCGGACTGACTCCGGAGCATCGCCGCGCGAGCGTCGACCCGTAGCCTACGGAGCTGACGTGTGGACTAGATAATACTGCTGTTACGCGCCGCGCGAGGCCTCCAGGATTTTGCTCGTAACCACTTGCGTGCATCTCCCCAATTTCGGGGGCGCGCAAACATGGATTAGCGATCCGTGGACTTGGCGCGCGGCCGCCTCATCCATGGATCGGGGGAGGTGCCCTCCCCAAAAAAAGCAGCGGGTGCCAGCTCGTTCAGCGGCGGAAATCCTCCATTTCCCATGAAAACTGGACCCGTCGCCAATCCACGCCCCCTGAATCCATGTTTGCGATCGCCTGGGCTGCGTGAGTCGGCGTCAAATTTTCGAGCCTGGGCAAACGGTATTGAGGGGCAACGATACTTCGCCGCTACGAAAGTTCGGCCAAAATTCAACGCCTCCCGTTAGGCGACGGGGCCCCAGTACAACGCTGGCAGTGGGCCCGTTAGGCCGCGGGGCCCCAGTACCATGTTCGGTTGAAGCATTTTTCGCTCCAGTCTCGGGCGGCACCGCCCTTTCGAAATCGAGCCCGCGGGTTTCGAAATCCAGTCGAGCTCGTTTTGGGGAGGAAGTCCTAAGCGAAATCCACATTTCGAAATCGAGCCCGAGGGTTTCGAAATCCAGTCGAGCTCGTTTTGGGGAGGAAGTCCTAAGCGAAAGCTGCATTTTCGAGTTTTCGGGTCAGGGCTTTTAAAGCTTCAGATGCCAAACGGTGTGGCCATTTCGAAACGGCGGTTTCGCTTGATACTTCCTCGGAAAAACGGTTTCGAACGATTTCGAAACTTTCGGGTTCGATTTCGAAATGGCTCTCCCGCCTAGGACTTCCGCAAACATAGAATTCGAAACCTTTTTGCTCCGATTTCGAAGTGGCGCTCCCGCACAGGACTTCCTCAAACATAGAAGTCGACAGCTTTCTGCCTCGATTTCGAAATGGCGCTCCCGCGCAGGACTTCCTGCAAAATGAGGTTCGTTGTCTAGCTGAAAACACACAACAGGTCAAAACTTTCGTAGCGCCGATGGTCATCTTACACGACTGACATGAATGATTCCTAAGGTTACGCTGGACCTGCTGGTCAGTACTCTGTTCGGCTCAAGTTAACTTGCAACCATATGTGGTTTGAAGTTCCACTTCGCCGCTACGAAAGTTCGGCCAAAATTCATCGCCTCCCGTCAGGCGACGGGGCCCCAGTACAACGCTGGCAGTGGGCCCGTTAGGCCGCGGGGCCCCAGTACAATGTTCGGTTGAAGCATTTTTCGCTCCAGTCTCGGGCGGCACCGCCCTTTCGAAATCGAGCCCGCGGGTTTCGAAATCCAGTCGAGCTCGTTTTGGGGAGGAAGTCCTAGGCGAAAGCCACATTTCGAAATCGAGCCCGAGGGTTTCGAAATCCAGTCGAGCTCGTTTTGGGGAGGAAGTCCTAAGCGAAAGCTGCATTTTCGAGTTTTCGGGTCAAAATTTCAAATGCCAAACGGTGTGGCCATTTCGAAACGGCGGTTTCGCTTGATACTTCCTCGGAAAAACGGTTTCGAACGATTTCGAAACTTTCGGGTTCGATTTCGAAATGGCGCTCCCGCCTAGGACTTCCGCAAACATAGAATTCGAAACCTTTTTGCTCCGATTTCGAAGTGGCGCTCCCGCACAGGACTTCCTCAAACATAGAAGTCGACAGCTTTCTGCCTCGATTTCGAAATGGCGCTCCCGCGCAGGACTTCCTGCAAAATGAGGTTCGTTGTTTAGCTGAAAACACAAAACGGGTCAAAACTTTCGTAGCGCCGATGTAGGGGGGGACTGGCCTACGGGGGAAACATCGGCCTGGCAACCAGCCCATGTTTGCGATCGCCCGACTGTCTCCCGTGGCACGAAGTTTCGCCAGCCGGAGCTCGAGAAACCGCAGCGCCGCACGCGAAGGCACGTGGGCACGGGCACGGGCGCGGCGCACGGGCGCGCCGAGGCACGCGGGCGGCACCGGGTTCCTCCTCGCCGGCACGGCACTCCTCCCCTTCGGGGAGGAGCTCACCACTGCTCCACATCAACCCGCCGACCCTTCGGCGTGCGGAAGACGGTGTCGTCGTCGTCGTCGTCGTCGTCGTCGTCGTCGTCGTCGTCGTCGTCGTCGTCGTCGTCGTCGTCGTCGTCGTCGTCGTCGTCGGACCCACGGAAGTTCCGACGGAAATTGAGAAACGTTCGCGTTGACTCCTTCCCCGCCGGGGGGGGGTTCGGCGGGGAGGGTGCGGGAAGGGGGTGCGGGGGGGAGGTCCTGGGGCAGATCACCGTCCCCCCAGCGGGGTCCCAGGGGGTGTTTCCCCCTGTGGACAAGGAAAATGCAAGACCCCCCCCCTTGGCCGGTCCCCCATTATGGAAACGGGGGACAGGGGGGCGGTCATCCATGTGGAAAGGGGAAGCGCAGGACACCCCCCCTTCCCCTGTGGCCAGGGGGGGCCAGGGAAACTCCCCCGCTCCGCTTGTGGACAAGCGGACCACCGCCACCCCCCTCTCCCAGCCCCCCCCCCGAGGAGGCACCCTCCTCACTCTTATCGTGCTGCGTGTTTCCCACATGCCTCCAAGAGGCCTCAGATCTGCTCCGAGGCGGCTGCAAGTGACCACGGAGCTTCCCAAAGCCTCACCCCCAGAGGCCCTCCAACAGGGCCCAAGAGGCTCCCAAGGGGCTCCCAAGAGGGCCCCAAGAAGGACTCCAGAGCGTCAGCGTCGTCGTCGACGTCGCGTCGCCGTCGTCGTCGTCCCCCTTCAGGGTCGGCGGCGCGGGCCGCAAGGCCTTTCCAAAATACACCCGCTCCCCCACCCGAGCGGCGACAGACCTGTCGGGGATGGACAGACCCCCTTTAGTAAAACGTGGTTTGGTGAAAACGACTTGAGGCCCAAACCTGGCGGGCGCAAGCCTGGAAAATAACGGCCACGGCGCCCTCTCGAGAACCGAAAACGGACAATTCACTAATCGACGTGTCACTGTTGGGAGTTCTGTCCACCCCCGAACCTGGGCCAATGACAACAACAACCCCCTCCGTCCCTGTTAAAAGTCCAGCACCGATGCAAAGAGTGCACGCTGCGGCCAAATCCGGACCGTGCGCAGGAGCGCCCCGTGAGCACTGTGCTTTGGTCTTTGACAGGGACGGCGGGGGTGCCCTCATTGCGTCCGCCCTGCGTGGGCCCACCACCCGTCAAAACAGCATGCGCGGCACACTGTGCGCCACAATCTGCATCGTGCGCGGGCGCCCCGCGGTCACCCGCGCTTGCTGCACATAGGTAACGCGCCCAAGGTGCCCGAGCAGAAGGAAGTACCCCTGAGCCCCCCCCCCCCCATCGAGGCGATTGGCCACCCCCCTCCCAAAGCCGCCCCCCCACTTCCCCCTCCTACCCCCAAAAGCGGCTTCCCCTTCTTCGGGCCCCCAAAACCCGAAACCACCCCCCCGCCCCTTTGCCCCTTTACCCCGCGGCCCCTCGAAGCTACCCCCCCCCCGCCCCCTCCCTCGTTTCATCCGCCACACGCCACCAACACCACCCGAGGCCTCTCCCCCCGCACTGCCGCCCTTCCCCTTCAGCCCAGAAGCTATAGCTACTAACCCACCCCCTCGCTGGACCTCTCCAACCGAAAGACCAAAAGTTAACAATTATTGTGGGGAATTCTGATGAATACGCAAGCACCCCTGCCCTAAGCGCCCAAACCTTCCCCCCCGTGTATAGATCCATCGCAGCCTTCCCCGAACACCCTAGCCTTTTTACAACCCAACCCTAACTAACGTCCTGCCATCATCATCTTCACTAGCCCTGACCCGAACACCCTAACACGCCAACCCTCACACCGTAATCCGAATGTGCACACCCTACCCCTAAAGGCAGACGAGGGAACGACATCCGGGGACCAAGACGAGCCCAGGGCCTGGGGAGGGAGGAGAACGAGCGACAGGGGACGACACCAGGACAAGGAGAGGAGGGCGAAGCCAGGGCGACCGCCCGAGGGACGAGCAGGAGAGAGAGAGAGAGAGAGAGCAGGCAGAGGAGAGACGCAGGACGGCAGAAGAGGGGACGACGACACCTCCTGCACTGGAGGACAGGCGGGCGGAGGAAGCCAGGGCAACATTCAGAGTTATATGATTCATCGCCAAAAACTGTGATATGAATCAAGCGCGGAAACGCCCAGCCAGTTTAATTTCAATCCCAACAATACCTCGACACTGTTTGATTTTCCTCGCGTGGCGATTCAAGGTACTCTGTCCAAGCATTTGTCGGACGGCCTCTTCCTGGCTCAATGCCCCGCCGCGCATACACGTTGCTAATGCCAGCGCACGCGCGTGCACTACTGAACCCCCATACAGCCTGGAACGCCATCTGCGCCGTCTCCCGGGGTCGAGGAGACGAACACTCCCGCTCTGGACATCACTCTGGCGAAGCAATGATTCGTTAGGCATGGCGGACCCTTCTCCATTGTATAACACTCGCGTGACAAGCACGCGTTGACTTAAACATTGCTGGTTCGCTCTGCACCGTGCCTCCGCATGGTTGACATGTGAACCGATCACATGTGCGATATTGAACGATCTTACGCAGACACAGCGATTGAAAAGCATCGATATTGATCCGGCGTGCCGCGCGCAGGCAGTATTTTCCAAGGCTGCACGCGAGCGTCGACACGACGGACGCATTCAACAAGCTGACTTTGCTTGCCCTAGTTTCGCTGGCGTGCCCCCGGACAGTTTGTAGCGAATCGAAAGACGCGCGGGTTTTATCCACGCGCCTGGCAACTGATGCCCCTGTTTCCCCATCGGCCCGGAAGAAGCTGCCCAGGTACACCATCGAGGTGACCGTCTTGAGCGGCATGCCATGCGGCGTGTGGACGTCCACGTCGCGCCGGATTCGCAGGCGCACGGTCTTGTCCTAAATGGGCCCCGGTCCACAAAATTGCAGCCTTGCGGAATCGTTCGACATTAGCGCCGTGCCGTCCCCGTACGCCTCGTCGGCAGAAAAATATCAACACGAGCGAGCCCGACTGCGAAATAACGTCGTGGTCGACGGCCCTTGTCAACACGCTCAACATGATGATGAACAAGTATGGGTTCAGAAGGGCACCACTGCGCAATGCCTGAGGACTGCGTTTGTCGGTTACTGCTACCATGCTCGTCTTTCACCTCGAACGCGCGACCGTCGCATATGGTTGCGATCATCTTGATGCACGGGTCAATTACGCCAAACTGGGCTAATGCTATCAGTACTGGTGAAGGGTCCACCCTGTCGAACGCCTTAGACCAGTCAAAACAGGACTGCAAAAAGTAGATTGTCCCTTCTGGCCCACGCTTGGTCAGAGCATCTGTGCATCATGAAGACGGCGTCCCTGGCGCTCCGCCCCTTTGGAAACCGAATTTGCTCGGTTGGAAGCATTCATCAGCACCGCCGCCTGATATTCTTGTTCAACAGGAGCGAAGCAAGGTTCTTGGAGCTAGAGATGGGTCGGTAGTTTTGGCCGGCAAGGACCCCTCCCCCTTCTTGTAGATGGCGCTGACTCTGCTATGCCGCCACGTCTGCAGAATATGTTCTTGCCGCCAGAATTCGTTCAACAAAAGGTCCAAGAGCACGGCGCATGCATCGTCGCTGCCGAGGAGAACTTTCTAGAAATCGGGCAGGAACGTGGCCGAACCCCCCTGGGCCCACCCAGCGCACGAGGCGGCAGCGAAGCGGCAGCGGGAGGGAACGCGGCAAACCCTCGCCAGACCCACCCACCGCACGAGGTGGCCAAGAGGCGGCAACGAGGCGGCACGAGGCGAAACCTGGCCAGACCCACCCAGCGCACGAGGCGGCAACGAGGCGGCAACGAAAGGGGCAACGGGCGAGCACCTCGCTGCACCCACTCAGCGCACGAGGCGGCAACGGAGCAGCAACGTGAGGCAACGTGGCGAAAAGTCGCCAGGCCCACCCAGCCCACGAGGCGGCATCGCCAGACCCACCCAGCGAACGAGTCGGCAAAGAGGCGACAACGGGCGGCAACGTGTAAAATGCTCGCCGAACCCAACGAATTCCTTGGGGAGACAAGTACAAGTAAGACCCCTAGTACAAGCATAGTCCAACTCCCGAATCCTAACACCCTACACCAAGTACACCTTAACCCTAAGCACCGAACCCAAGCCTGACACCCTAACCCTCTCTTCAGCACCCTGACCCTAGCACGTTAATCCTAAGCACAATCCTAACACGAGCACCCTAACAGCCTAAGGGAACTAGCCCTAGCAAGCTAACCTAACACCATGACACCCCAACATCCTCACCCGAACACTCACCCTACCACCCTGGCATGAAAACCTTCACCTTCTCTCCAATACTCTAACTCTAACACTCTTACCCTAATGTTAGCACCCTTTGGAAAAGGAGCTGCGGCATATTCTGCGCTTCCAAAGGAGGGGGGAAAGCTTGAGCCACCCCCTCTTTGGCAAGGGTACCCCCGTCTTCACACTGGGGGGGACGGGGGGGGCTTCCGAAGGACTTCCTCACCCCCTGGAAAGGGGAGCCCTGGACTACCCTTTGCTGCATAAGGGAGCCAGGGGGTGGTAGCTTGGGAAGCCCCTCCCCCCTACCGCTGGCAAGGTGAACTCCAGCTTCACAAAGGGAGGGAGGGGCAGGGGGGTTCCGAACAGCCCCCTTGGAAAGGGGGTCCCTGGTTTGCCCTTCGTGGGGGGGGGGTAACTTCGGAAGCCCCCACCCCTGACAAGGGGACCCCCAGCTTGAAAAGGGATGAAGGGGGGAGGGCTTCCGAAGCCCCACGCCCTTTTGGAAAGGGGAGCTGGGGCTTATCCCCAGAGACAGACGATGAGGAGAGGGGGGAGGGGAAGCTTCGGAAGCGCCCTCCCCCTTTTGGCAATGGGGCCCCCAGCTTCAAAAGGGAGGAGGAGAGCGGTAGTTTCGGAAGCTCCCCCCACACTTTTGCAAGGGAGGGGTTTAAAGCTGGGGTCCCCTTGTAGTCCTCCCGTCCTCACAAGCGCCGTTTCTGATAATTCTATAGAGCCTCCGTCCAGCGAAACGAAGCTCTCGCGGTCGCGCTGGTCGTACCGCTGCATCATCAAAAGCGGTGTTCCCGCTTCATTATGTCCCATGCTTCAGAACTAAGTGGCCCTTTCGGGATCAATTTTTTCGTCGACCTTCGACTCCGCGAATACAGTGGTAAAGGATCACGGATCAGCAGAGAAAGGAGTGGGAGATGCGAGGGGTGAGATGTCAGATATGTCGCGAGTTCAAGATCCTCCTCTTCCTTCTCCTCCCTCATCCCCCTCATGCTGCTCCTCATGCTCCACAACAATTCCCCGTGCTTCAACAGCGACCATCATTTCTCATCCCTTTCCTCCTTCTCATCGTTCCCCTCCTCCTCCTCCTCATCATCATCTTCTTCCTTCTCATCTTCCTCCTCCCAGCTTCAGATGCGCAAACCAGCAGCGCAATGGGTGACAACGCCAGTATACCGACTTCACACTGTCACCGCAACTGCAGAGCATGAACAGTGGTGTGAGGATGGGGACAGAAGTGCTGAGAAGAACCCGAAATACAGGGGCTTGGAGGATGCAAGGGGATTGGATGAGGAGGGTGGCAGAGGGAAGTGGCGAGGAGGAGGAGTGAGGCATTGGAGCGGCGAGGGGTAGTGAGGCCGCAGGGGGGGAGGAAGGTGGAAAGGAGCAGGACGAGGAGAAGGCGGGGTCATAACAGCAAGCTCCATTAGCAACGCCACGACACCTGTGCGCTACCTTCACACGAGGTGCCCTTGCTCCTGGCCAGGCAGACAGAAGGGCGACACAAGGGCGCCCTCAAAGCGTCGATGGCGTACAACAAGGCGTGCGTGAACAGGCCACTGGCGCGGGGAGTGCCCAAGACAAGGGAGCGGAGCAGTCGCAGCTGCAGTCCAAAACACGAGCGGCAATTGCAGTCGCAGCAAGAGCCGCACCGACGGCAGCATCAGTGGCGGCAGCGGCGGCTGGCAGCGATTCGCAGAAAATCAAACACACACTGGAGATGATGTCGTTGAGAACTCATCAAGGCTTCGAGCAAGAGCCGCTACGACGATGCAAGAGTGGCAGTGCACGAGCAATTCCCACCTGCTCGCGCGTGCGCATGAGGTCACGTACGCCGAGCATGCCAAGGGTGCAACCACAAGCGCGTGGGCTCTGCCTTCTGCCCACAGCTCACGCAACGTACTTCAGCACAGGCTTCACTGTGCTATCGATGTCTAGGCCAAGGTCGTCCCTGGCTCGACCCCTGAAGGGGCTCTTGCTATGCAAGGTTGGAGGCAGGCGCATTTGAGTTGTGCACGAGAAAGCGGCGCGGGAGGAGACGAGCAACAACGCACGTTCAGAAGGAGAGAGGCGAGGGGAGAACCCGAGGAGAGTCGAGGAAGAAGCAGGGAGGCCAGTCGGCACGCCTGACAGGCGCCGACAAGAACACACCGAAGAGCAGACGGTAGGTAATAGGCCGACAACATCAGCAGCGCAGAGCCTGTCCCTCCATTGCAAAAGGGCAACAGACACACACGACGCACTCAAAGACACATACGCGCACAACACACAACAAAACACAACACACAACACAACGCACAGCACAACATGTACGCATACACACTTTGGGCGTCGCGGACACGCGCACTTTGACCCTCTTCTTTCTCCTCCTCCTCCTCCTCCTCCTCCTCCTCCTCCTCCTCCTCCTACTCCTCCACCTCCTCCTCCTCCTCCCACGCCCTCTGAACGCTGAGCGCCGCGGGCATCGGTGCCTCTAGGAGGGCCCCTCCCCCCAATGCGACGAGATCCGTGCAGATCCACTGCTCCCTGGCCAGGCCCACCCTGACCCCAGCAGCGGTGTGTACGGCACGCCCTCCTGGTCTGGCCAGGAGGGCGTACACACAGCTCTCCTGGCTTGGGCCAGGGCCAGGGCACGGCCAGGGTTAGGTCGGACCTGTCCCCTACAGGGGGAGCTTGGATGAAACAAATAAGAAGTACCCCAAAAATATGCAAACAAATATTCAAGAATACTGAAAAACGTCCCCTGACTATTTTTTGCCTATTTTTGAATATTCCCCCTGTGGAGGGACAGGCCCGACTTGTGGCCAGGGGGCAGCGGATGCGCATGGACTTCGCTGCCCGACCCCTCCCCGCCCGCCCTCCGCCACTGGGGCCGACGGGCCTCCCCGAGCGCGCGGCGAGGCAGGGAGCAGCGAGGCGGCCAGAGGCGCGGCGGGGCGCGCGCCTCGGCCCAAAAGCCTCAGCCTTGGGGCGCGCGCGTGGCGCGCGCTCAACGCTCGGAGCGGGAAGGGGATGAGGGTATGGATCGGCGGCCAGCCGGGGGGGGGACTCTGGTTCGAGATCGGAAGTCTTCGTTCACTGTCGCCGATTCTCGGCGGTTTTCCGGCCTCGGGGTGCTCTCCAGAGGCTGCACCTCGCCGAGAGCGTTCCGGGGGTGTCCCGATCGTTCCGAACGGCCGCTGGAGGCCCAAGCTGTGACCCGAGATCCAGGCTCGGCGGCGCGGCCTAGGAGGGAAGTGCGAGGGGGGGGGCCTGCTCAGAAGGCTCGGAAGGCCTCGGGCCCTCGGAGAAGTTGCGCTCGAGGCCCTCCCCGAGGGCACAGTAGGCTCGGAAGGCTGGAGGGCTCCTGAGAGAAGTCCCGCCGCCTGCCGCCGCCCTCTGAGCAGGCCTCCTCCCTCTCGCTCCGCCCCCCCCTCTCGCTCGCCGCTGGGCGGAGGAGGACGAGGAGCCGGAGGAGGGGCGCGAGGACGCGGAGGCGGGGGCGAGGGCGAGGACGCGGAGAGGGGGACGGGAGAGGGGGGCGGAAGAGGGGGACGGGAGAGGGGGAGAGGCATATCTGACGTCCTACCCCTCCCTCCCATCCCTTACCATGGCGCTGATTTTCTCTATCCGCGGACGCGTGTCCTAGCGGACCTGTGGCTCGCGCGCGCGCGTGCGTAGTGGGTGGTGGTGCACGTGCGTGCGTGCGTGCGTGCGTGTGTGCGTGGTTGTGGTTGGTTGTGGTGGTGGTGGTGGTGGTGGTGGTGGTGGTGGTGGTGGTGGTGGTGGTGGTGGTGGTGGTGGTGGTGTGTGGTGGTGGTGGTGGTGGTGGTGGTGGTGGTGGTGGTGGTGGTGGTGGTGGTGGTGTGTGGGTGGTGGTGGTGTGCTGGTGGTGCGGTTGTGGTTGTGGTGGTGGGTGGTGTGGTGGTGGTGGTGGTGGTGGTGGTGGTGTGCTGGTGGTGGTGGTGTTGGTACTGGTGCTGGTGCGGTGGTGGGTGGTGTGTGGTGGTGGTGGTGGTGGTGGTGGTGGTGTTGGTGGTGGTGGTGGTGGTGGCGGTGCGGCGCGGTGGTGGCGGGCGGATGGGCGCGCGAGAAAAAGGCCCGCGCTGGGGCGAGAACGCCATCCTGAACGACGGAGGCCAACACCGATCCGAAAATGAGGCCCACGCTGCAGCGGGAGCACGATTCGGAACGATTCGGGAGCAGAAATGAGGCCGGCGCCTCAACGAGAGCAGCATTTTGGGGAAAAATGACGCCGGCGCCTCAGCGAGAGTCGTTTCCCGGGATTTCCCGGGAATCCTGTGTGTAAAAAAACAGTACGCGGAGGGTGCGCGGCCATCACCCGGACGCCATCAGGGGAAGAGGGAGAGCATTTTCGTATTGACTAGTTGTCGAGGAGGGGCGGCCGAGGGGGACGGGCAGGAGGCGAGGCTGCTGGAGGGGTGGCCCCAGAGGAGGGCGGCCGCCCGGCTCTCCTGGCCGGTCCCTTGGCTCTCGCCCTCCCCCCTTGCCCCACGCCTCTCGCTGCTCGGCCCGCGGCCACACCGACGCCTCGGAGTTCCCGAGCACCCCGAGGAGGAGGAGGAGGAGGAGGAGGAGGAGGAGGAGGAGGAGGAGAAGGGGGAAAAAAAGCAGCGGGGGATTTGCGATGTGTTACATGGAGGCAAACCAACATTTTTCGGACGTTTGCAAATAGGCACTTTGCGAGTAGTGGAACGCGCTCGGTGAAAGGAGAGAGAGGACGAGAGGTAGAAAGGAGGGAGGACGGGAGGGCAGCGGGGCGCGAGGGGAAGGAACAGACGAGGGATCAGAACAAAAAGAGAACTCTGCCAACGTCCTCCCCGCTCTCCCCAAGGGTCTGCAAGGCATAGACTGCAGCAAGAATCAGCTCAGCCTCTATGCAGCCACTGACGGCTAAAGCCTGTCTGTTGTCCCACTCGTCCAGGGCAAGGTCCACCTTGAGTTCACGCCCGCCCCCCAGCTTTGAGGAGGGGCACATGAGACGAAGGAGGCATCAGAAAATACAAGGCACAAAGATTTGGCATCGGCGTCGAGGGGCAGAAGGGGAGGGAGATGGGACAACGGCAGAGTAGGCTAGGAGACGATGAATATACATAGTTGGAAGTCTGTTCAAACCATAGATTTAGGTCGGGCGCGTCCCCCCACAGGCAGATTTTGGACGAAACATGAAAAATAGTCAAAAGGTAGTCAAAAATTGTCAAAACTTGTCAAAAAATCGTCCCACAACTATGTTGTACTATTTTTGAAAGTTCCTCATGTACAGGGACAAGCCCGACTTAACCATAGGTGCGGACTTCTGAGTTGTCACACAGAGCTTGGAGCGGCACGCCAGGGACGAGAGCAAACTCTTGAGGCTTCCAGTACCAACAACGGGCGCCCCCGACGCGGCACGAATCAAAATAGGGCTGCTTCTGCTCGCACGGGCAGGCGCCGCGACACGGCACGGAAGATCCGCGGGAAGACCCGAAGGAAAAGAAGAAGCCAGATCTGGGGAAATCCCGCCAGCCCTCTGGGCGTAGGTGGTTTAAGGCGTTTCCTCTTCCACCCCCTTCTTCCCCTTCGGGGGGACGCTTACCCCTCCCCCGACCCCCTCCCCTGGACCCGGACGGGGGGGTTCGCGAGGGGTTGGAGCGTCCAAGATGGCTTCGGCGAGGAAGCCAAAATCATTGGTTTTACTAGGGTTTGGGCCCCATTTTGGCTTCTCCAGGGGAGGGGGGCCTAATTGAGGGACCCCCCTTCTTTGATCGATCTCCTCCAAGATGGTCCCAGGAGGCGCCCAGGAGGCCCCAAGAGGCCCCAAGATGGCCCCAAGATGGCCCCATGTGGCCCCAAGAGGCCCCCAAGAGACCCCCAGGATGCCCCCAAGAGGCTCCCAAGAGACCCCCAAGAGGCCCCAAGAGGCCCCCCAGGGGCACCCAAGACGCTCCAAGAGGCCTCGGCGAGAATGCCAAAGTCATTGATTTGATAGGTTTTGGCCACACGATGGCCTCCTCCGGGGGGGCACTGCTTCAGATGACTCCAAGAGCGCCTGGGAGAGCCCAGGATGGCCTCCAAGATGGCTCAAGATATCCCAAGATGCCTCAAGATGGCTCCCACGATGCTCCAAGAGGCCCCAAGACCGCTCCAACACGGCTCCAAGTGGCCAAAGAGCTCCCCCTGGAGGCCCCGAAGAGGCCAAAAATCCTTCCAAACCCTAAGGAAAATCGATGTTTGGGGCTTTCTCGCCTTTTCGCTTCCGATGGCCATCCGAGGCTTCAAGACGGCTCCAAGATGGCCCAAGAGGGCTCCAAGAGCGCCCAAGGCTCCTAAGTGCGCTTCAAGAGGGCCCTAAGAGGCGGTGAGTGAAACGGTCCTCGTGCGAGCCAGATGTCGCGCGGCACACCATAGTCATTCTGGTGGTGATGGTCTCGGGCGTGGATCCCACTGGTGACGATCGGCGAAACCCTTCCCGTGCGAAGGGTATCGCATGCGGCGCACGATAATGGTCCCTTTGGCTGCAGTCCCTGAAGTGGCTCGTGCGGCGCACCTGCAGCGATGGTTCCTGTGGCGATTCCCCTGCGAAACTGCTCGCATGCGACGCGCTGTTGTGATCATGTGTGGTGGCGGTGTCTGCTTCACTTCCCGCGCGAGCCCACTCACATGCGGCGCACAACGGTGGTCACTGGAGAGGTGACCCTCGGACTAGCTTCCGCGTCAACTGGCTCGCACACGGCGCGCCATTCACACACAACTTTGTGGCGGTGGTCCCTGAACCGGCTCTGGTGCGAGCTGTCCGGCATGCAGCGCACCGTTAAGTGGCTCCGAGACAAACAAGGGATGAGGACAAAGCTGTGGATGGACAGGCTCCAGACAATCCCCTGGACAACTCAACGGACAACCTCCTGGACAACCCAGGTAGACAAGCTGACAGACGGCCGGGGCTGCAGCGCGACATCGCCAGGGAGGCGCGATGGCACATCTGGCGCAGCTGGGGAGCGACTTGACGGGGCATATCCCAGCCTGAGAGGCCACATTGCACGCACACACACACACACATACACACACACACACACACACACACTTTTTGCGTCGGCGGTTGGGCAGAGGGTGACTGCTCCGGCGATCGGGCATCAGTGGGGCGCGCCTGATGCAAATTGGGCCGCAATGCACGTGAAGAGGGGAGACCCCGGCGCGACGGGAAGAGAGGAAGCCGGACCCGCTCAGGCAGGTCGCCGGTCACACACACACACACACACACACACACACACACGCGCGCACACACGCACACGCGCACACACGCACACACACACACACACACACACACACACACACACACACTTTTGGCGGTCGTGGCCTCGCGCGCAGCGTCGAGGCGGAGAAAGGTCAGAACCGAAGCGCGTGCCGCTGGGCCCTCAGAAGGACCCCTGCAAATCCGCGTGCAACAGCAGCAGCAAGCCATCCGGGCATGGATGGCGAGGAGGAGGCGCACCGTCCCGGCGCTGGGCCTCCCAGCGGGAACGTGGCGCGAGAGCGTGGCAGAGCAGAACCAGCTGGGCCTGGATGGCAGCGTCCACGCCGAAACCTGGCCGGGAACGCAGCGCGGGCAGGACGAGAGGGGAGCTGCGCCGGAGGGGAGCGCTGGCGAGGAGAGCGTGCGAAACGGAGCACACCGCCAACGGCGGCAGGCGGGACGGCGGAACCCCGGGGGGGGTGAAGGCCTGGCGGGCCGGCAGGGGCCAGCAGGGGGGAGCGCGGGGCAGAGGGCAGCCAAGGGGGAGGGGCGGGAGCCCCGCGCAGGGGAGCGCGGGGGGGCCCCGCGGGAGGGGCCGTCCGGCGGGCTGCCCGCAGGGCGGCGGCGAGAGGCGGAGGAGCGAGGGAGCAGGGAGGAAGGAGCACGCCAAGTCAGAGGCAGGGGTGGACCTACACGGTGCTTGGGCGACTTTGTGGGCCGTCTTCGCTTCGACTTCGCTTTGCGTGAAGGGCGGATGGAAGACAAAACGAAAGACACCGTTTAGGTTCAGCCCTGGTCAGTGGCGAGCACGCCCGCCCGCCACGCCCCGCACGGGCGCGGGAAGCGGGGCGCTCGCGTGGAGCCGCGTCGCCTGCCTACGGGGGCGGCACGGGGGCAGCGCGGGAGGCGGGAGCCCGCCCAGCCACAACTCGGCGGCGAGCCCAGGGAGGGGAAGTGAGAAGGGGCGGGCCTCCTCAGAAGGCTCGGAGGTCACCCGGCCTTCTGAGGAGTTGTCGAAGCCTTCCCCGAAGACGCCCCAAAGCTTCTCCGGAGGCCGGAGCGCTCCTGAGAAGCCCCGCCGCCTTCCGAGAGGGCCTGCTCCTTCGCACTTCCCCCCCCCCTCGCTCGCCGCCGAGCCATAGCTCCAGGGCGGGAGCAGGCGCACTCGCTGGGCAGGCTGGCTGGAAAGGCAGCCAGCTCGGGTGGCCAGCGCCCCTCCGCGGGAGGGGCGGCAGCGGAGAGGCGCTCTGGGCGGCCCCGGCGTCGCGCGCGCAGCGGGCGGGGCGGAGCAGGGCGAGCAGGTCGGAGGCGAGCGGGCGCGCGCGGCCAGGCCCTCACACGCGGGACCACCTGCGGCTGCACGCAGGAGATAGGGGGCCACATGCGAACCCTACCCCTTACCCCCACGATTTCTGAGGGGGAGGGTGGGGTGCACTTCGTTTGGGAGCTCCCGAGCCAAGTGAACCCCACACTCCCCCTCAGAAATCGTTGGGTGTAGGTTGTAGGGTTCGCATCTGGCCCCCTAGGAGAGGGGGACCCCGGGTGAGAGCGGCCGCTGGTGCGCGGCTTCTTGGGGGGGGCGCGGAGGGGGCTGGCCCCAGGCGCGCAGAGCCCGCTGCTGCCGCAGCGCGCCCGGCGAGCGGGGGGCCCCGCGATGCCGGCACCGAAAAGTGCTCACTCCGGCGAAGGGTCGCCCTCGCGTGCAGTCGACACCTTGGATCGGCCGCGCACACCACCTGGGCAGGTGAGAAGATCGAGACGGCGTCCGAAGTAGGCGACAAGCGACACAGACGCAGGTGGAAACGGTACTGGCCCGACACCCAAGACGGAAAGCCAGCCAGAGCGGAAAGCAGAGACAGATATACGCACACACACACACACACACACACACACACACACACGCGCGCGCGCGCGCGCACACGCACACGCACACGCACACGCACACGCACACGCACACGCACACGCACACGCACACGCACACGCACACGCACACGCACACGCACACGCACACGCACACGCACACGCACACGCACACGCACACGCACACGCACACGCACACAAAACACAACATAAACACGCACGCACGCACGCACGCACGCCACGCACGCACGCACGCACGCACACACACACACACACACACACACACACACACCTAACACACTACACACAAAAACACACACAACCACACACACACACGCCACGCACGCACACGCACGCACGCACGCACGCAGCACGACGCACGCAACACACACACAACACACACACAACACACACTACCACAAACAAACACCAAAACACGCACGCACGCACGCACGCACGCCACGCACGCACGCACGCACGCACACACACACACCACACACCACACTACACACACTACAACACACACACACACACACACACACACAAACACACACACACACGCACGCACACACGCACGCACGCACGCACGCACGCACGCAGCACGCACACGCACGCGCACACGCGCACGCACACGCACACGCACACGCACACGCACACGCACGCGCACACGCACACGCACACGCACACGCACACGCACACGCACACGCACACGCACACGCACACGCACACGCACACGCACACGCACACGCACACGCACACGCACACGCACACGCACACGCACGCACGCACGCACGCACGCACGCACACACACACACACACACACACACACACACACACACACACACACTTGTTCGTCGGCACCTGCGCGCTCGCAGCTCCAGTCGATGCGACGGCGGATGGGAGAGGCCTCAACGCGTAGCCCAGGCGAGAAGCGAGCAACATTGCACACAATCTCACACATACACACACACACACACACACACACACACACACACACACACACACGCGCGCACACCTGCGGTTGGTATAGACACAGAAACTAGAGCGCATCGAAGATGCTCTATTAACAGAAAGGACCATACCGCATGGGGCGGCATGCCTTGCGGATAAATCAGAGTCGGAAACGCCTACCTCATTGAAACACGCAACACGCGAGGGCCTCCATGTAGTTGGCTTCCATAAGTATGACACCGATCTGTTCAGACAACTACACTCCTAAGCAGCTGGCCAAGGCAAGTTTGGTGGATGAGAGGCTGTCACGGGGTCGGGGGTAAGCTTTTCTGCTGCTTCAGCTGCTTTCAGTACGAGATGGTCAGGAGGGTCTTGGCGTTTTCCGGGTATACTTGCGGTGTTCCATCTGCCTAGAGATCTCCTGCTTGCTTTTCTGAGAAGCCGAAGGGTGCAGCGCCGTCCGTGAGAGGCGCCCGTCGGCTTCGCCCAATTTCTTCGCCCGGGTCCTCGGGTTTCCTCTGAGAGTGTCCCAGGGAAAAACACAGGGGACTCAGGGCCAACATGGGCGATCCTGGACCAGACACCTGAGGTCAACCTGGACCCACTCGGCCCATCTCGGCGCCGACGCGCGCAGACTTCTGGCCAGCCTGGGGTCAACTTCGGTCGGCCGCATTGTGCCCCACTTGCCTCCTCCCCCCTCCCTTCTACCAACTCTCTCCCTCCGCCCTCCTCCCTCCTCCCTCCTACCTCCTCCCTCCCTCCGCCCTCCGCCCTCCTCCCTCCTCCCCCCCTTGTCCACTCCTCTCCTACCTCCTTCCCTCCTCTTCCTCCTTCCTACTCCCCCTCCCCCTCCCCCTCCCCCTTCCCCCTTTCCTCCGCCTCCTTCCCTCTCCTCATCCCTCCTCCTCCTCCTCCTCCTCCTCCTAATCATCCTCCTCCTCTCTCCTCCTCCGCCTCCTCATCCTCACTCCTCCTCCTCCTCCTCCTCCTCCTCCTCCTCCTCCTCCTCCTCCCCCTCATGACTCTTGATGCGCCTTTGCTCTCGTACCTCTTCTGACGTCATTTGCAATGCGCGGGTTCCTCAAACGCGCAAGGGATCGCGGGTATCCAAGGCTTCCAGCAAGCCCAAACTGACCCCTCACCCACTGTAGCTGCCACCACTACGTCGAAATCCACTTGAAGGCAAACAGACCCCTTGGATGCTGTGTATTTGGTACAGATGCAGACGGGGCAAGAGAACGAGTCCAAGACTGAAGTATGGCCTGAGACCCAAGCACAGGAATAGAGAAGAGGGTTCGACGCAAGGAGCCACGATTGTCCCTGTGTGGCAGCAGTCCGTCACGATGAGAACCTCACGGGAGAAGAGGAGGCCGCGGCACGAGCAGCGCAGGCCAGGAGAGCGCGGCTGGCGAGGATCACGGCGACAGACCCGCCATTTGGTCCGAGCAACAATAATTCAACTGACAAAAAAGAACACGAGAAAGAGCAGGAGGAGGAGCAGAAGGAAGAGGAGGAGGAGGAGGAGGAGGAGGAGGAGGAGGAGGAGGAGGAGGAGGAGGAGGAGGAGGAGGAGAAGGGGGAGGAGGCGGAGGAGGAGGAGGATGAGGAGGAGGAGGGGGAGGAGGAGAAGGGGGGGAGGAGGAGGAGGAGGAATATGAGGAGGAGGAGGAGGAGGAGGAGGAGGAGAGGAGGAGGAGGGGGAGGAGGAAGGAGGAGGAGAGGAGGCGGAGGAGGAGAAGAGGGGAGGTGGAGACTACAGTGCTACTATTACAAAACGAATACCCAACACAGGAGGGTTGGGAAATTCGCCGGCCCAACGGGCCAGAGGCGTGCTAAGATCTCCAGTAACTTGTTAACAATATTTCTAGTTCGCGCGCGCGGAGCGGCCCCTGGGGGCCCCCGGACGAAAAGTACCCCGGCAAGGTCCCGAGAGAACCCTCACGAGGATCGTGGCCTCCGAGGGGGGAGCCGCAATCGACTACCCCCAAGAGCCCCCCAAGAGGCCCTGGGGGCCTCCAAAACGCCGCCAAGGAGCCCCAAGAGACTCCCAAGAGGTCCCCAAGAGGCCGCCCAGAGGCCCTAAAGAGGGCTCCAGGGCCGGCGGCATGAGCGAAGCGATTAAATAAAATAATCACGACACAACATGTATTAGTATTTCCAAGCATGCAGCGGCAGGCGGCGGCGGCGCCGCGGCTAGTGGAGAGAAAAAGAGGAACAACGGTAACAGGATGAGCAGAACAGAACACGTGGCCCACGAGGCCTCCGCCTACACCAGCCCGCTTCTTGTGCCCCCACTCTTTCGGGCATGCGCCAACACGGATTACGACTCCGTGCACCCAGCGCGTGGGCGCCAGGTCCACGGACCAGGACGTGACGCGAAGCCAACGCCGCCTGATCTGGCGGCGGAGCGCGCCAAATCTGCATGGAAACGGGACTCGTCACCACTCCACGCGCCTTTGCCGGTATCTGTGTTGCCTCGACTCATTGCCCCCTGGTGAACGCAAGTGCGCCGTGGCGCTTGCCCCCCAGGGCCGCCAGCGGGAGACAGCACGACGACCGCCACGATGATGCCGTGGCCGCCACAGGGGATGCAGGGAAGCAGGAGAGCACCGCGACCTTCTCGAGGGGAAGGGGGGCAGGGGCATGGAAGCGCACGCCGATTGGCGGATGGCCTGAATAGCGGCTCCAGAAAAATCCTCCTCCCCCTTCCCATGCTCCTCTCTTCCCCCTCCTCCTCATCATCCTCCTCTGTCCCATTCGTTTCGTTACTCCCCAGAAAGCGAATGCATTGAAAATTATACTCTTGCAGTTCAAGGGAATGGCCGCGCGCGGAGGGGTCTCGCCGTCCTAGCCCTATGGGTTTGAACGTGGGTCTGGAAATGGGCTTGGGCTCCACACGCATCAAGAGTACACCCACGGAGCTCTGGACGTACAGGGTTCCACACATACTGCTGCAAACATGTACTGGAGGTTCACACACACACACACTTTTGCAAACATGTTGGGTTCAATACCATTCAGGCTCCACACACTTGCGGTTCGACACATGATTAAGGTTACACAAACAGTGTTGACACTCATTAATAAGGGGCCGACGTCCAGAGCCAACATTCGCTTACGACCCCAAGACAATTATAGGTATCGAGGCCTGTAAGCTCCATCAGTTACACGTATGACAGGCGGATCCCTTTCAAAAGACTGCTCTAGCTTGAAACTTCCCAACACGTCAATACATTTAGCTCGAAGTTCCCGACAGCCACGAGGATGGAGTCCGATCGCTTGTCAAATCTGGCTTTCGCTGGAAATGTCATGTTTTTTTACCTGGAAATTGTAGTAACAGCGACACACATGGCGAGCGGGAACGTTTCGAAATGGGGCGCTCGATCGGTTGGAGCAGAAGTTACCAGCATGTGCACGGACGGCTCGCGGGTCATAATCCAAAACATGTTTCACCATTTGGATCGCAGATTCCCCAAGAAGGTTTGCACTCAGGGATTCTGACTTATCTTTAAGGAGCTGGGTCGTGTCTGCGGTCTGGCGGCTTCAGTGCGGGCGCGGTCGCAAGAAACCCGTACAAAAAAACCAACCTTGAAAACCCGCGCGCGAGGTACACCCAGGCGCGCGCGAGGTGCACCTGGAGAAACCCAGAACACCCTGAACGCAGCAGCTCCTTCGACGGCCCTGAACGTCACCGCGCAGCGCGGGGAGCGGAGAAACCCGGGGCACCCCGATCCCCAACTGAGGTGATGAGACGGTGGGGATCGAGATGTGGATGGGGACGGTGGTTCAAGGATCTGTTGAACGGTGCTGACACTAGGTCCAGCCTGTCCCCCTACAGGCGGATTTGGGAGGAAAAATAAAAATAGTGAAAAAATGCTAAAAAAATTGCTCATAATAGTCAAAAATCGTCCCCTGACTATATTATATTCTTCTATTGCATGCCGTCCGCCGTCGCCGCCCCCAGCGCCGCCCCCCTCGCCGCCCCGCTCTCTGGCCGCGGCTTCGGTCTGGCGGCCATGCTCCCGCCGTCTTCCCGCTGCGTCGCCGCCCCGTCGCCGCCTCTCCTAGATATTGCATCACATGTGGAAAGGCCCGTTCGAGAGTATGAGGAGGAGGAGGAGGAGGAGGAGGCGGAGGAGGAGGAGGAGGAGGAGAGAGGAGGAGGAGGAGGAGGAGGAGGAGAAGAAGGAGGAGGAGGAGGACGAGGAGGAGGAGGGCAGGAGGGGAAGAGGAGGAGGAGGAGGTAGGAGGAGGAGGATGAGGAGGAAGAAGAAGCAGACCCCCCCCCCCCCGACTTCACGGGAAACTGTTCCAAATGGCAATTCTCGTACAGTTCAGCCCCGTGCTCCATTCGAAGTCTGGATTCATACCATCCCGAGCACACGCTGATCAAACGTCCCCCCCATCCGATGCAAATGCAGTATACGTGCACACTGGTTTCAAAACTTAGTAAATGCAACAAAAACCTTAGAACAATGAGACGAAGTGCACACGCGCGCGCGCCGTCGCGCGCGCATGCCGACATCCGTCAACTGCACTCAGTGTCGTCAGGAATTCGAAATCGAGTAAATCCGACAATTTGTTAACAATAATTTAATGTTTGTTTTGTTTTTTTTTGCTTTTTTACACAAAAAAAAATAATAAAAAAAAAAAAAAAAAAAAAAAAAAAAAAGGCAACGCAGAGAACAGCGATGTGTAGAAGCATATCTGAAAGCAGTCCCTTAAGATTCAGGATGAAAATCCAGTTGAGCGATTCTGCTGCTTCGCGGAGTGCTCGCATTCGGCGATGACAGTCGGCAGCGGCAACGGCAGTCGCAGTACAGCCTCAGCCTCAGCTTGCCTCAGCCTCAGCCTGCATCAGCCTCAGCCTCAGCCTCAGCCTGCCTCAGCATCAGCCTCAGCATCAGCCTCAGCCTGCATCAGCCTCAGCCTGCATCAGCCTCAGCCTCAGCCTTCAGCCTCAGCCTGCCTCAGCCTCAGCCTGCCTCAGCCTCAGCCTCAGCCTGCCTCAGCCTCAGCCTCAGCCTGCTTCAGCCTCAGCCTGCTTCAGCCTCAGCCTCAGTCTGCCTTCAGCCTCGGCCTCAAGCCTCAGACTGCCTCATCCTCAGCCTGCCTTCGGCCAGCAGCATCAGCCTTCCTCGCTCCTCGCATACAAAATGTGGCCAGGAATGGAGTTTGGGAACTAGAAGAAACACACGAAGTGGCCTACAGTTGGCTCCCGGGCATTTCAAATCATGCCCAGTGAATGGTAATTCTGGAACTTGAAAACACGAAGTGGGCCTCCGGTGCTAACGGGTCTCAAACTGGTGGCCCGCGGGGGAATGGAGTTCTGGGAATGAGTCGAAGAGCACGAAGTGGCCTTACAGTTGCTCGGCATCAAAATGTGGGCCAGGGATGGGAATGGAAATCTGGGAAATCGAAGAGCACGAAGTGGCCTACAGTTGGCTCCGGGCATCCAAAATGTGGCCCGGGAATGGAGTTCTGGGAGCACCAAGAGCGATTTTGCGAGGATGTCCCAAGCGATTTGGGCTACGGCGGCAGCCGCGGCGGCAGCCTGTCCGGGTCCCGCCCCGACCCCCTGTGGAGTCATCTGCTGCTCTCCTTTGAGACCACTAGAAACCTATCAGCAAAAGCTGTTAGGTAAAAATACGATGTTTGTGCAAATGTATGTGTATATATGCGTGCATGAATCAAATATATACAAATATCTACACATATAAACGTGCATATAAAAATGTATAGATAACTTGCGCTCGAGGTTGTGCGAACCCTCTTACCAAAACCATGGTTTGTTTAGCAACTTCAAACAAGTTTGCCAAACGTGCCTATCGCGCGCGCATGTTGAAATCATTCGAACACCCTTTTTTGGCGCGCCTGTTGCCGCAAGAATGTTATGAAAAACGGGGCGGTGTGCACACGCAAGCGCCGTCGCACGCGCATGCCGAATTCCTTCAAAGAAACTGGCTGGGTTCGCAAGCATGTCAAAATCAAGCCCCGAAAGCATACCGAAAACAAACGACTGCGCAACATCATGTCTCAAACAAGCAACCAACAATCTAAAACTGCGCGCGCGTTCTTGTGAAATCTTGAAAAAATATCCCGGCAAAGCAACCTAACAGCGATGTGTAGAAGCATATCTGAAAGCATTCCACTTAAGATTCAGATGAAAATCCAGTTGTCGAATTCTGCTGTTCTCGCAGTCGTAGTCGCATTCGCGATGACAGTCGCAGCGGCAACGGCAGTCGCAGTCACAGCCTCAGCATCAGCCTGCCTCAGCCTCAGCCTCAGCCTGCCTCAGCCTCAGCCTGCCTCAGCCTCAGCCTCAGCCTGCTTCAGCCTCAGCCTCAGTCTGCTTCA